TAGAGGAAGACGCGTTTTAAATCTCTCAACAGCAAAGCAAATCAAGAATAGTTAGTTCTGATGAAACGTTGAATGTTTTAAATGAGCACAGAAAAGCCTTGCAGTCCCAAATCTAATTTTATTTTTTTTACATTTTAACATTGAGAGACGTCAAGTTTAGGTCAAATTAGCAAAAAACAAACCTTTTGTTTAACAGGTGTTCTGTAAAACACTGTTTACAGTTTTAAGATGAACAAATAAAACTGTACAATACAACTTTTTGTGGATTAAAACCTCAACTACCAGCTAAGAAATCTCAACTGTTCACACATAACCTGCTGTTTTACAGCCTCCCTGTTAGTTTAGGATATTTGTCTTTTTTGGGCGGATTAAAATGACACTAAATCTCATTTAGCATTTAGCCTTTTGCCCTAACGCCAAAGATCAAACCAATCTATGACTGAAGTGTACCATTAAACCCCTTATATACAGTATTTATGTGATTATGTAAACTGACCAGGGTTTGAAAGTCCTCCTCCTTAAAAGTAATTTAAARTAAATGTTTTGCATCTTTATACCACATGATTAGATGAATGTTTGTTTCATTTATTCCATATTGTTCTTAAGTCTGTGGTTTCAGACAAGCATGGCCCACTAATACATGTTTACTCAACAGAAATTTCAATGAGTCCAACTGTTGTCCTTCAACACCACTGAAGCAGCTTGTTAGCTTTAGCAGGACTGGAGATGTGTTTAAAATGCAACTGTTTAGGGTTTAATCCCCCATATCAGCAATGTTGGGTCTTTTGTTCCTGTTTTATCAATTTAGTCAAACTTGATGTTTATTAACCTTTAGTTTTTTTAGATCATGAGACAGATCAACCCTAAATCAATGGTGACTCAAATACTTGCATGTTTGCATGTTGCTAAAACAATAGATATTTCTGTTCAACTCAAGAAACAATGCCGATATAAACCTTCATAGCAGTTCACAAGACTGCTATTTTATAAATATTTAAATCACCATTAGTTTATCATTAAATATYTTTTAAAACAGAGTTGTGTGGTTATTTTCAGCAGTTAGATAACATAACATTATCTCTAATTTTTTTTAGACTGAGTTGTTTCAAGACAACAATGTTTTTTTAGTATATTCACATTCAAACTACTGTAAAGATCTGTTCATATTTGGACATGATCTAATATTTTTGAAATTGAAGCTGTTTTAAGACAATCTCCTAGTATTTTCCCRCTCAAACTAGCAAATGAAGCCAATCATTTTAGGACCAGTCCAGTATTTTTCAGACTGAATTATGCGACAATCTCAGTATTTTCCCGCTCAGACTAGCCATTAGCATTTCAATCTATTCAGATTTAGGCCCCATCAAGTATTTTTGAGACTAAGTTGTTTTTAAATTAAAACAATTTATTTAGTATTTAACCGATCAAACTAGCCATTAGCATATTAATCCAATAATATTTAGAACCAGTCCAATATTTTAAAGATTGAGTTATACAGCAGGCTCTTAGTATTTTCCCGCTCAAACTAGCTGTTAGCCTATCATTCTGCTCAGATTTAGGCCCTATTTTTGAGATGAAGTTGTTTTTAAATTAAAACAATTTATTTTAGCAATTTCACGCTCAAACTAGCCATTGGATTATCAATCGATTCAGATTAAAGCCCAGTCCAACATTTTTGAAATTGAAATATTTTCAGACAACAATCTCCTGTCGTATTTTCCCACTCAAACTAGCTGTTACACATCAAACTGTTCACATTTAGGCCCAGTCCAACATTGTTTTAAAACAACATTCCTTCAATATTTTCCTGCTCAAACTTGCCACAAGTTTAGCTGTCCAGTATTTTTGAGATTGAAGTTGTTTTAAGACAACAATTTCTTTTAGTATTTTCCATTCAAACTAGCCGTTAGCTTATCAGTCCATGCAACATTGTTTGTTAATGGATTTTGAATTCTTGTATAAATGCAATATTTAGGTTTACTTTTAAAATAAATATACAAAGTTGTATAAACTGTTTTCACTTGGTCATTTTGGGGCACAGTTTAGAGAAAAAATCGAATAATTTCAGGATTGATTTTTGCAACATATAATAAAATTGCAAACAATGAAGTGCACATTCATGTTTGCTAGACCATGGTCAAATAATACATTTCTACTTTTTAACATTTTTATTACGTTTTTTTCTCTGCCCTAATAATGCATCTTCTTTTTTCTTTCAAYGTGGTTTTATTGTGAACCAACAAAGTCTAAGGCACGTCGTCTCTATGCAGGTAAAAATAGTGAGTTGAAAGGAATTTGCACACATTAATTACTTACAATTTTAAGAACAATTTCCACAGGTAATTTTAAAGTGAAACTGCTCCTTATGAATATTTAATTATTGTTATTTTTCTTAAATCATAAATTTTCCGGTCATGTATTCTCAGTCCAACAGTAACCAGGTCGGAGACTTTGGTTAGAACTGGTCACTTGTCATAGAAACAGGAAACTGAAAACATTTATTGGACTCAACAAGCCCAGAACTCCTGGAAGGACCTCTTCTAGAATGAAGCATCTAAATGGACTAAAAACAGCATAATATGATGCTCTGTTCTGGTGACATGCATGCAACAGCAGTRGTCAGATCTCACTGAAATCTTTTTGGTAAATGTTTTTTGTTGTTGATATTGTAAATAGATCTGTTTATGCCAAAAACTGTAAAGGCTTGAGTGTGTTGATCATCCCTTCACACCGGTTCTCTTGTTTTCCTCTCATGCTGCCGAGGCTCTGCTTTTGTGTTGGAGAAGTTTAGAAAAATTAGGCTCTAAAGCAAAAATTTAAATGGAAATAACGATAAATTAAATGTTAGTGCTACTGTAAATTCAATGTTTGACTTCTTTTCTTCAATTAAACGTTTGGTAAAAAAAACGTTCTTGTGTACGCCTCCATCATTGGCTGTACTTCAAGATCTCCCCCCTTGGTGATGCTCGTGTGTTTTTGGTGACGTGGTCTCAACTTGTGAGGCACAGAAACAGTCAGATGGTTGGCCTCTGTGTRATCTATGGTAGAGGTCAGAATGTGTTGCCAAATTGAGAAGCAATACTGCATCAATTTCGGATTAAAAACAAAATTTAACAAGAGCCCAGTGTTTTCCTAATAATTGGTAAAATTATAAAGAATGTGACATTACGGTTCATGAGTACCCAGTTTAACTTGTGAACTTTTTAGTTCGTCTTGCCTATAATGCTAGCATATGCTAAGAGAATATACTTCATTTTTCAAACCTATCTATGCTAAAATTATATATTTTTACACAGTGGTGTAG